GGAAGTTTTAATTCAGTTCGATTCAATTTTATTTATACTGCTCCAAATCAAAACAAGTCACCTAGAGGCACTTTATATTGTAAGGTAGACCCTACAATAATCAAAAATAAACTGCTGACAGGTGTCAGGTTTAGCTTTCAGTTTATTTTGAACAGGTCCATAATCTTTAATGTTCAGGTAAGTACAGGTGAGACAGGTTTGCCAGCAACAGCACAGATGAAAGATAAAATCTCCTGAGTGGTTTCCAGTATTATCATGTAGTTTTAACCTGTTTACACTTCCTAATGAGACAAAAAGCGAAAGATTCATCAGGTCAAAGACATCTAAGTACATCAGACAGCGAAGCATTTCCTCCCCAATCGGCTTGACAGTGATGAATCGTGTTTCATGTGTAAACTGAGCCAATGAGGAGGCTTCCAGCTACCTGACATTCAGGTGTAAATAGAAACAACATGAATCAACATGAAGTGAGAGATTTTAGAGAGAACATGAAATATAAATTGATGTTCTCGGGCAGAACGTCAGTTCTTTAGAATAAACTAACAAAAGGTTAAAGATATAAACCTTGACAGCTACCACGTGATCACTTTTCTGCCCACTGGAACAACACCCTCAGAGGAGGGGCAACTTTCGAGTTGTTCTGACACAGTGTTGTCATGGATACAAGTGTTTCCCTTCATGTTTAATTCAGTCCTTCGTATTTATATTGTATGACCTTCACAGCGTCAGCGTGCATGTGACCTATGGTGAACAACACTGTCTGAACTATAATTACCTGTAATCTTGAAGATAATCTACGAATAATACATTAAACTGTGAGAAGGAGTAATAGTGTCTGTAACTGTAACCTTGTTAGTTTGGACTCATTGCAAGGTGTAAGGCTCACTGTGCTGCTGTCAGTTCTTTTCTGATCTGTTCATCATATACTCATCCTTTTAATGATGTGTTGTATATATTCACATTAATTGTAGATCTATGTAAACCCTGCATATGAACATTTAGGCAGTGCTGGTGGTGGCGGTGGAGTTGGCAGTCTGTTGCTCCATCTCTGAGCTTCCTACCACCATTTCTCTCAGCCCTTTGCTGAAGTGAAGATTTGCTCCGATCACGATGAAACCCTGCAGAGATGGAACAGCTCCTGTCAGCCAGGGGGCAGCACTGAGTTTATTTCTGCATAAATCTGACTTTTAAAAAAAGAAAGCCTAAAACAAATAAAATGATAATACAAGACTTTATTATAAAAAAAAATGTGTGACGGTCACAATTGTAATTTTTTTGTAAATTGTTTTTTTTGATGGTGGTATTTAGGGATGGGTATCGTTTAGGTTTTATCCGATACCGGTGCCAAATCGGTACTTTTGAAACGGTGCCGGTGCTCAAACGGTGCTCAAACCGGTGCGTAAAGAATGGAGAACACAAAATTGGTCC